ATTATATCATTGTTCACAAAATGCATCAGATAACATTCCAGAAGTAAGCACTTATATAAACATTTAAAAGGACAACATATAGGTTTAGTGCATATTCAATGACAACATAAAGAGTAGTAGTTTATTCTTGAAACTTAAATTTTCAACACTGTGAAGTTAGTATTTGTCTTTTGGTTGAAGTAATGCAATTCATTCAAGTTTCAATTTGCAGAAGAAGAATATAATCTGAAACTTAAAATCGCAACGCGAAAATGACTATCGCAATGCGAATTTGACTATCGCAACGAGAGAATCGCAATGCAAAATGAAAATCACAACAACAAAATCGCAACGCGAAAATGACTATCGCAATGCAAATTTGACTAGCGCAACGAGAGAATCGCAATGCGATTTTCATTTCGCATTGCGATTCTTTCGTTGCGATAGTCAAATTCGCATTGCGATAGTCATTTTCGCATTGCGATAGCCATTTTCGCATTGCGATAGTCATTTTCGCATTGCGATTATCTTGTTGCGATAGTCATTTTCGCGTTGCGATAGTCATTTTCGCATTGCGACAGTAAACTATTCTTCTTCTGCAAATTGAAACTTGAATGGATTGCATTACTTCAACCAAAAGATAACCAAAAACAAATACTAACTTCACAGGGTTAAAGAATAAACAGTTAAACAATATTGGCAGCAACCGAATGAATTTACTAAGCAATCTAAGTGAAATTACGAGTAAATTTATCATCAAGTTAAATACGAAAAATATTAAACTTACCTTGTTGCGAAGAGTATGAACCTCGTTCTGCAACGATGCTACAATCTCACGTAGAGCTGCTACCTCACCACGTAAAGTAGACACCTCAACACGCCATGCACCATTGTCGTCGCGTAAAGTACCGATCTCCTCACGCAAGGCATTGACCTCAGTACGTAACTCCCCTAACTCATCCCGTGGAGGTGGAGAACAGGGAGATAAACATCGTGGCATCTTTGCCGGTCGCCTATCATGAGGTGATGGTGGAGAAGAGGCTCAATGATGTGACAGAATAGGTGATGACTCTCGTTGTGGAGGTGTATATTCGGGTCGATCAGGTGATGGCTCTGGGTGAGGTGATGGCTCTCGAAGTGGTGGCTGCTCATCATCTGTGCCATCAAAAAAAAGCTTACTAGCTTGCCACCAATCAGTGGCAAGCTCAGCTTCCGTAGGTGTCAGCCTCTGTAATGGAGTGTTGGCCTCCTAACAATATAAAAGCTCAAACAAAGTTAAACGTGTACTAGTAATAACTTGTTTATAAACATATGGTAGTATTTGTGTTAACTTACATTATTTATTGTAGTATACGGTAGTAAATCTTCCCATTGCTGCAAGGACCGTTTCCTCTTCCAGGAAATAGCCCTAGGAATATCATTGGAAGTTTTTAATGCATATGTCTGCATGGCGGGAAAGGCCTCAAATATCCAAATCTACAAACAATATAATAACAAACATTAGTAATTGTTAAAGAATTAATTATAATTTTGGAAACATTATATAAAAATTATTACCTTAAAGGCCCAAATAAAGCCTGACAAAGTGTATTTAGAACCATCGCCACGCAAACTTTTCCGATCATTAAAGGCAGACGACAACTTATTCCATGTAGCTCTCCATAGATACGAACCCCACGGAAACAGGTTCCATGCATTTAGGTCCTCTACCAATTTAATTAGATCATTAGGAATAGGTTGTCGGGCCTCTCTGCCTAAAAAGTCGGCTTGCAAAAGTATTAGAAGGCATACTCGGACAACATCGACGTCATCCATCCGAGTAAAACTATCTTTCTTATTCAATAATCTCGTCAAGTCTTCCACGTGTAAATTCGACTTCTCCGTTGACTGCTCAAGAAAAACCCGGGAAAACCATGATATGCGGGTAATATGTCTAGTGTATCGATCTACATCATCGTGTCCGAAGCGTAACCGGTGATTAAGCAAAACTCTTCCCGCCCAAAACACGTATACGCTGGTGAAAAATCAAACCATATCTCTTCATCACGACGTTGTATAGTCTCTGTTAGATTGCTAGTCATGGTTTGAAGAAACAGATGGGTCAACATAGCATCTCTACCCAGATGTTGTACTTTCAGCCATGGCCCGAAGCAAGTATCCTCAAATATTTTTCTTTGTGCAGGTGAAAGCTTCGACGCAATTATTTTGGCCAGGCTTACTTTATTTCTTAAGGTCAATTGAGCCGAATAAAAGTTCTGCAAAAACAATAAACATACCAATTTAGATATACCAAAAACTACACTGTGAAGATATGAACAATAAAGAGTAGTAGTTTATTCTTCAAACTTAAATTTGCAACACTGTGAATTTAGTATTTGTTTTTTGGTTGAAGTAATGCAATTCATTCAAGTTTCAATTTGCAGAAGAATAATAGTTTCTGAAACTTTAAATCGCAACACGAAAATGAAAATCGCAACACGAAAATGACTATCGCAACGCAAGAATCGCAACGCGAAATGAAAATCGCATTGCGATTCTCTCGTTGCGATAGTCAAATTCGCATTGCGATAGTCATTTTCGCGTTGCGATTCACTCGTTGCGATAGTCATTCTCGGTTTCAAATACTAAAATTGAAATAAACTTGAATGGATTGCATTACTTCAACCAAAAGACAAAACAAAGACAAATACTAACTTCACAGGGGTAAAAACTAAACAGTTTAGCAGTATTGACAGTAATCAGATGAATATAATAAGCAATCTAAGTGAAATGGTTAATCTATTATTGAAAACACCAATAAACTTATCATCAATTTTAATATGAAAAACCTAATAATAATGCAAAAATTTCAAAATAAAAATAATTAAAAAAACTAACCCTCGGTGGTTGATTTTCCATTTCTGACCGTGAATGATTTCGCCGGAGATGGAGATTGTTATCGTCGTGGGGACTGATTTCGTCGGAGATGGGGACGGATGCCGCCTTAGAGAGTGAGAGATGGAGATGAGACTGAGTTGTGATTTAGGGTTTTAGGTTATGAGTTGCGATTACGGGATATACTGTGGACGGTTCAGTGTTCCGATATATTAATATATTTGTGTTTGGAATTTGAAAAAAAAATACGCGTTAATACGAATGGCGCTATGTAAATCGCATTGCGATTTACGTATTCGCATTGCGAATTAGGAAAATCGCAACGCGAATTTGGGAAATCGCAATGTGATAGTCAGAATCGCGTTGCAAATCTGGAAACTGATTTGCGATACCGGAGATCGCGTTGCGAATTATCGATCACATTGCGATTTAGTTGGTCATTTTGGCAAATCCAAAAAAAATTGATTAAAATCGTATATTATAAATCATTTTTGGTCACTGAGGTTATTTTATCTTACTAAAAATAGTTTCACCGTCGGCTAAGAGAAAAAAAAAAGTAAGCGGTTAAAACAAGAAAACCTAAGGAAAAACCCTAGGGTACTTTCAAATTTACTTGAACAAATAATTTTGATAAACTTGTAATATGTTGAGAATTCTATATTTAAACTGCAAGTCCAAAACACTCTTTAAAGTTTGATGATTGTAGTAGTTTTACAATTTAAAATTCGTATTTGAAAATAATATTTATAAATAAAACTTAAAAAAATTAATTTAATTTAACAAGCATTTATTACAAAATGTTTTTTAACGTTATAAATTTAAATTCTCAAATTCATCTAAACAAACAAATCTATAAAACCTGCAATATTTTTTTTTCAGGTTCCAATATTTCTGGAAGGTAAGTTTCCTTAAGACTCTCAACAACAACAATAATGACCAAATGTTATTTTTAAGTTGTTATAGGCATTAAAATCATTTAGGAAATCTTACCATGTATTTTAAAGCTTCTCTAAATGATTTACGGAAGGAGCTAATTTTATTTTAAAAAAGAAAATACCTAAAATTATGATGTAAGTTCACAATCATAATTGTAAATTAACATATAAGAAATATATTTTTCTATAATCGTTAACACAAGAAACTATTCACTTAAAATCATTAAAGGATCATACAAAAAAATAGTTAAAAATCCAACAAAAAATATTAAAATATAAATATAAATACAAACATATCCAATTGCATTGATAAACTTATCATATAAGAGAATCAAACTACTAAAAGACTAACGATAAATCGTAAATTAGAGTTGAGTGACGTGAAAAAACTATTAAGAACTCAAATCACATATTCAAATTTAATCCAAATGTTTAAAGCAGGGAAGATCAACATGATAACAAATAAGCGTCATATTGATCAATCGTAACATATCAAATTAAACCCTAAAAAAAACAAATGAAAACAACAACCAAACGATTGAAATACAGAGAAAAACACAAGACAAATAAAAATATGTCACAAAGATAAAATTATTAAAAAGAAAAAGAAAAGTATAAGGAAATTAAATATATAATGCAAGAAAGTAAGGAAAAATAAAAAACATCGACAATGACGATTAACACCAATATTACGAACTTTTTTAAATAGATAAAAAGAATTATAACGATATTTTAACATTTATTTTCTTACTATTAAGATCATATAATTACTTAAATAACTTTGTTTAAAAAAATTATCCCAATAATATTAGGTATCGCAGAATTCTAATATAAGACGATTCTTCTGATTAAGTGTTCCATTTGTAACTTAAAATTTAAAATTTTAATGTTATTTATATAACGTTTAATGCAAATGATAATTTTTGAAAATATATTTTGATACGTGTGTGTAGGTTGATTGCAAACTCAACAACCACATCTTTCAATTACTAGTATATCTTCATTTCGGCATTTTTGGGGTTGAAATCAGCATTTGTTTTCTATATAGTATTATTAAATATTTATCAATTAACAAAACAATAATATATATTTATTTTTGTTCTACTAAAATGTATGTGGAAGTCAGCAGTTTAGTTTATCTTCCACAATCCAACAAGTGGCCCTCCTCTTCCAGTTCAAGATAAACCCCCCCCCCCCCTTTTGTTTTCCACAAATCAAAATCCCCATTTTCCTCATCTTCTCAATTCTGAAAGTTCCAATCTTTCATACGAAAGTCCCAGTCTTTCATCAATGGCTTCCCTTCAGCAAACTTCAATCGCCATTCGATCAAAGCTTCTCCCTTCTTCCCAGCTCCCCAGAGCCCTCCCTTCCCTCAACCTCTCCTTCTCAGCCACTTTCCCTTCCCTCAAACTCACCACCTCTCGCCCCCTCATCGGCGGTGCCAGAATGTCGGCAACAGCGGCTTCCAGCTACGCCACCGCTTTAGCCGACGTAGCCAAGTCAAACAACAGCCTCGAAACCACCTCCTCCGACGTCGAAAAAATCGAGAAAGTATTCTCCGACACTCAAGTCCTCGACTTTTTTGCTAACCCCACCGTCGATATCCTCAAGAAGCGTCAGGTCCTGGACGAAATCGTGAAATCATCGGAGCTTCAGCCTCACACGGCCAACTTCTTGAACATCCTGGTTGACGCCAAGAGGATTGACCTTATCAAAGAAATTGCCAAGGAGTTCGAGATGGTTTACAATAAGCTGACGGATACTGAGTTGGCCGTGGTGAGTTCAGTTGTGCCATTGGAGTCTCAGCATTTGGCTCAGATTGCTAAACAGGTGCAGAAGCTGACTGGTGCTAAGAATGTCAGGATTAAAACTAAGATTGACCCAAGTTTGGTAGCCGGGTTTACTATCAGGTATGGGAATTCAGGCTCGAAATTGATTGATATGAGTGTTAAGAAGCAACTGGAGGAGATTGCTGCTCAGCTTGAAGTAGGTGATATTCAACTTGCTGTATGAGTTTTGATTTTTTTTTTTTTGAGAATTGGGTTTGAAACTCTTTTTTTGTTATTATTGTAATTGAAATTGATACTCTTAATGTTAAATGTATGAAATTTGTCTAAGCTTCTTAAGATTGTTGGATTTAGGGGAAGCTGATAGTGGGGTTAAAAGTGAAAGTTGATATTTTAAGGCAAAGTTCTTGGATCAATTTCAAGGAATCTAACCCTAATTCTCATATGAAGTATGGATGTGTTGAAATAAGATGGAGATTGTAAATCAGTTAATAAATTTGAGTCCTTGAAACACGAGTATCAAATCATTCAAAAGAGTGTGATGAACTGAGTTGTCAATGAGTTTGAATTATATTTAGAAGCATTTGATTGTAGAGAATGCCATTGAATTCCACTTGAAGGTCAGGCATGCCACCCAAGGGACTAAAAGTGGTACTAATCTGTTGGTTATAAAAACCATCTTTGATTTCTGCATCTCAGTAACTAGGGCCATGAATCTATACATTGCAATATTGTCCTCATCACAGTGTGGTATCAGTGATGAAACTTGTAGATATCGAGTTGTGATGAAAGAAATGGATGTTGAGGATGAGAAATGTTGAAGAACCAGATCTCAATAAGTGTTGGAATCCAATCCATTTATGCTTAAGAGTTCAGTCTCTGCAATGAGTAATGTTGAAGAACCTGTTAGTATTGTCTCTAAGAGTAAAAACTCTTTCAAACTCGAAAACTGTACTAATAGTAATATTAAATGAATCTTGATTATATCTAAAATCAACTCGATTTGTTACATTTGATTCAAAGAATTATATAATTAATAATTTAATATGAGTTCACAATCACACATTGGACTACTTTATTTTTTTTGATAAAAACACATTGGACTGCTTGAATAAGTTTATGGGTAACTATAAGCTTATGGGTAAATATTTGTTCAGGGTTGAATCATGTTCACCTGCATAAGCTTGACTAGGCTTTCTCACTATAAAACAGTATTAAGAATTACTATGTTAAAATTAAATTAAAAATTACCAGCAAAACAATTACTTAAACCATATTTAAAAGAAGCCTGTTTAATCTCAGCCCATGAACAAATAATTCTTCTTATGTGAGGTTTGTAGTGAGCCCCAAATGAGAAGAAAAAATAGTTCAATGCCATATTCTATACATAGATTAGAATTGATAGGACATAAAGAAATTAATTAGTATTTGGTAGCCATTTAATGCTTGACTTGACACATGATTAATGGAATGGAAGACCGGGTAAAATGAAATTTGTGCTTTAATGAGAATTTGATGGGAGAGGGAAGATAAGCATGGAAGATGGTAACTTAAGCCATAACACCAACCATGTGATAGAGAGGAAGGCTTTGTTTTATTTAATGCACATGCCTTGAATGCCGTTCATTGATTTCACCAGCTACCTTACCTGAATCCCATTAATAAGGTATTCAGCCATAGCTGTATATACATATTTCCAATATCAACAGCTAGAACAAGGAAAAAGAAAAGAGAGAAATAATGAAGAGTAGTGAAAAGGGTAATGGTGTTGCTACTGCTACAACAAGGTCTCCAATGGCTTTAATGGGGTCTTCGAGAAATGAAAACGAGGAAGAAGTGAACACCAGCATGAGGACTGCCGAGACCATGCTACGGTTGGTGCCGATGGCTTTAGGGGTTGCTGCAATTGTTGTCATGCTTAAGGACTCTCAGTTCAATGAGTTCGGCTCGGTTTCCTACTCAGATCTTGGAGCTTTCAGGTTTTTTTTAACCTTGAACCTAAGTCTTTTACTAGAGTGTAAAGAACCCCATTAGATCAAACAAATTTAGTTTAGTAGTTAACTAATTGAATCAATATGAACTCTTTATATAAAGAGTTCACTGGTTTTTTAAAACCTTTTTTTAGGTATCTCGTGCACGCAAATGAAATCTGTGCAGGCTATTCCCTTCTTTCAGCTATTGTTGCATTCATGCCTCGTCCCTCAACTATGCCTAGAGCTTGGACTTTCTTCCTCTTAGATCAGGTCATCTAATTTAACTTTTTTTCCCCATTAATTACATCAACCATTTAACATCATAATGATTTTCATATATATATTTTTATATTCCTGCAGATTTTCACATATATAATCCTGGGTGCCGCTGCTGTATCAACGGAGGTGCTTTACTTGGCAGACAAAGGGGATTCGGCAATCACCTGGAGTGCTGCTTGTGGGTCATTTTCTGGTTTCTGTCACAAAGACACAACATCAGTGATCATCACATTTGTCACTGTAATTTGCTATGCTGTGTTGTCTCACTGGTGTCTTCCTATAGACTTTTCACCAAGTTTGATGCACCGGGGAAGTACATCAGCAAGACAATTGAAACCACTGTTTTCCATGGTTGATTTGTGTTATTATTACTGATGAAGCTACTTAGTTTCACGTTTGTGCATGTAATAGAAAATAGGTTGCCTATAGTGTTTGTGTCGTATGAGTAATCGGACTGCTTACTACCTTCTAGGTGGCATTATTTGTTCTATGTAATGCCAACATATTACAAAAATGATAAGCCATACCACAATTGGCAAAATTCGATGCTTCTTTTTATTGGTTGATGCAAACATGCATTTCCACAGCAGACATGTTTCATTACTTTTGTGTTTCTATGTCCATAAAAAGGGAGCGTTTGAATGTGCAGGAATAAGGATTTTGAAATAATTAACAAATGTTATATATTTAAAACAACCGAGGTTGAATTAAAATATACGGATACAATAAAATTCTGAATCGCAATTACATTACAACGTTTTATAAAAAAAAACTATAGAAAGAAAGTAAAACATCTTTTAATTTATTGTCACACAAGAGCATTTCTCTTGTCCAAAAAATCAATGGCTGAAAGAATAAAGTAGCACAATTCTTTTTCTTGACGCAAATCAGTTGTTTTTTGCAAATTCGAGTTACTTTTTGCCGTCATGAACATTCCCAAAGAAGTTGTTCATGTAATCTGAAAACAAAAATTCTGTGTAACGAGCCACTCCGTCTTTTTTCACCACTTGAGGCAACGGTGCAATCTTTTGTGTTGCTTCTGGACTTGCAAATATTGGTATTGACACTCGAGATTTTGTACTTGTTGTGCGGACTCTATGTTCTGCACTTTTGTATCTTCCATTACTCCATATCTGAATACAAGAAACTTAGATATTAGATCAGAGTGTACACTACTAATGAAGTTTACATAAATATGAAGCGGTTTTGAAAGTTAATATTGATTCGAACCTGTAGCATATCACCAACATTGATGACTAGGGCTCCAGGAATAGGAGGAATCTCTACCCATTCTCCCTTCTTTTCCATGTCTACATTTTCAGGAACTCTCACATACAAACCACCAATCCCATCTTGTAATAAGATTGTAAGAGTACCCATATCGGAATGACGTCCCACACCGACTGTGAGTTCAGGATTAGGACATGTTGGATAAAAAGTTCATGTTAACCATCTTCTTTTCCGATGAATGCATCGATCTTCGAGTCATCTAGTTCCACTCCTAAATTTCCCATCAATGCATCAAGCAATTTCCTCACCATCTCATGTGACGTCTTCAAATATTGTAGGGCATCATCTCTATACAGAGAATTTCAATACTTATATGACTCTCTATCCGAAATGCCAAGGAAAAATAAAATAAAATACAGTTCATAGATATATTTCAGTACCTGCGCACTCTACAGGCCATTGTTGCATAGCTTCAGCATCGTTGGTGTAAGCCATGCTAATGTAGTCTTTCCATTCCAAAGCTTTCTCCTTCTCGGGCACAAAACTCGTCCCATACTTCACTAAGGGGGATGGACTCACTTCCTTACGATACACAGCCTTCCTTTCTGCAGGCAAGGCAAAGAAGTTATGGGCGGTCTGCTTAAGGGAGTCGAGTAATTCTACGGGAACTCCATGGTTGATAACTTGGAAGAATCCAAGAGTCTCAGCAGCCCTAACAATTTGATTCACCACTTCATCATGGTCGGGACCATCAAGCCTGGACAAATCAGTGGGTGGAATGTCACATTTGGTGGCATTGTTCTTATCAATTTGCTCGGCGGGTGGCTGAATGTAAGCCTGGGGAACCTTTGAAATGGCAGAATCCACTATTCCTTTGACGCCATTGCCATCTCAGACGACAAAATTAAAAAGGGAGCTTTCACTATCAAAACTTGGAGCCATTTGGGTGTAAAAATGTAAGTAATTGTTTTGTATGAGCAGAGAGGGCTGTTTGTTATGAAATTGTGTTGTGGATCGACCAAACGGAATGTGGGGTATTTATAGTGCATGGATGGATGACCATGTACTAATAAAAAATATTTTTCTTCTTGACTTGTGATGCCCAAATGATTTGAACTTTTCAGCAGGACAATGTTACATGTGACAATTATTTTACTTTTGAAGGAACTTGGCAATTTATGAATTCAAGTAAATTGCCACAATCTCCAATTCTGACTGAAAAATGAAGGGAAACTAATTATTGCTGAAGCGCAATAACCAATTCATTTGTAAAAATTGTATATCTTTTAAGGCCAGAAGAACCCTCCAAAGATAGATCTTTTAAACATTGTAAAAGGATGAAAAGATGGTTATTTCTGACTTACCACTCCTGCACCAGCCTTCCCATCAAAGACACCATCGCAATTAAATATGTCTTTCGTTGACGTCTAATAGAACAATCAATAAAATGATTAATAAAAGAATCTAATTAAAATGATAATTAATAATTTGAAAACTCTAATTTTCCATAATTTAATATTTAGTTTATAATTTTGAAATATCCGTATGTCCGTGTTTCTAGTTTTTGATGCTTTGCTGAGTCCTGTTCTGTTTCTCTTTTGATGGCCAGGGGCTTGACTTGTATCTTGTCGTCGAAAAATTTGCCATTGGCAAAAGTGTAGCAATTTCTTTCTTGGTTTGGTAGAGCTAAGGATTGTTCTTAAGTTTGATTCATTGGGAAACATTCAAGGGAGCATCATTACTCTGGTCGTTGTTCTAGAAAGATTAATTATTTTTCATTAATTGACATTTTGTTTAATTTTTTGGTCAGAGATGGAGATTGTGGCAACTTGTCTTGAATTCATAATTCAATA